GGACTGTTCTCCTGTACTGGGACTGTAGCTCCTATTGTAACAGGACTGTTCTCCTGTACTGGAACTGTAGCTCCTATTGTAACGGGACTGTTCTCTGAACTGGGACAGCTGTCCCTTTTTTGGAAGGGGTTCTCTGGAAATATAGGTAAGTCGATTTACAGTATTGTTCCTCGTTTACTTTCTCAGTGTGAAAATGCTCCCTCTAGCGGTCGCTGATCGCTATTGCTCGCTGCCGCCGGATGGGGAAACAGATGGGGACCAGACGAGCGGCTTTCTCCCTTTCGCAAAGTAAAAGAACGTTTGTGATCAATCAGTTGTTTGCTTTGGCTGTTTAATTAGGTTGCTTTTTAGAACACCGTTATTCTAAAGAATATCATAACTATTTCTTGCTAGGTTCAATAAACCTGTTAAATATCACATCATCATCATCAAATCATTTTCCCACATGAACACGGGGAGAACATACAAACCCCTTTATTATATATTTTAAACAATAGTTATTGTGCTTATTGAATTAGCATACAACTTTGTTTCAAGGGTGGTGTTGTAGTTGACATTGCTGCCTCACTGTGCTGCAGCCCTGGGTTCAATTCTGGACCTTTGCTGCTATCTGTGTGGAGTTTGTATGTTCTCCCCATGTTTGTGTGGGTTTCCTCCAGGTGCTTCGCTTTCCTCCCACAGTCCAAAGACACACCTATAGGTTAAATGTCTTCTGGAAACATTGATCCTGTTGTGAGTGTGTATGTGCCTGTGGGGACACACACAGACAGTTTTGAGACACCAAGTAACACAACCAGCAAATCTTTGGGAGGAGGGAGGAAACTACAATACCTATAGAAGAGCTGCATTGACTCAAGGATAACATGCATACTCTGAACAGAAGGCACAAGAATCAAACTCATAACCCACCTCTGTGTTGCCATAGTGTGACTGCAGTGAAATGATGGGTTTCCATTTTAGGACAAGGGAAAGGGCTCAGATTAGGGTTTGTATGTGAGGGTTTGGGTGAGTTGTGGTGGCTCACAATGTGAAGCTCAGGCTCCTTCAAGGGAAATTCTGGATAAACCTCCTATTAATTTACCTGCCAGGAATAATTTAAAATAGGGGATTCAGGGCTCCAAAAAAGGTCAACCAAGAAGGGTCAACCTGGAGCCTGGCCGTTAGCTGTCTATGACTGGGTTACTCCGTGTGATGACAACGCACTGTTAGGTTGAGTAACGCCAAAGGATTTCAAAGAGTTTTCCACATACAGGAGGGAACCCCCTTCATCATTCATGGAAGTGCAGCCACTGTGTTGTTTTCCCCTCAGAAAGTCAAGGACAGTGCGGCGTGGGCTTCAGACAGAGTTCAGTGCTTCTTCCCTTTTCCCAACTTGTCCCTGCATCCCACAGAGCACCACAGAGAACAAAACAGAATTCTGGGATAGGATTGGCGACCTGCCAAGGTGAGCACCAGACTGGACGTATCTCACTGATACTGTCACCTCTAACACACAGCTGTCCTGGACTCCTGACTGACCTCTCAGTCACACCCAGCTGTCCTGGACAACTGACTGACCTCTCAGTCACACAGATCGTTCTGGACACCTGACTGATATCTGAAATGCACACAGCTACACACAGCTTTTGCTCACTCAATTGAAAGCAGAGTCTCTGAATGCTGGAGGATCAACTAACCAGTGAGGTGTGAAATTTCCCACCTTATCCTGAGTTTTAAGCAGCTGTTACTTGATAAGGGGATCAGGGCAAGGAATACCCGTTGTCTCTTATGCCATCATGAGAGCCTGGGTGTGCAGGGGTGTGTTGAGGCCCCAGGCAGTGGAGACTCCCTGATGACTCCATGCACTGCCAGCTGTTTTGGGATCTGTATGGGATCTGCTCCCTCAGGAGATGGAGCTGATGCCTCCATCTTTCCTGTCTTTTCAGCTCCAGCTGGACAGAAGAGTATCAGGGGGCACCTGCAGCACTGGTGAGTTATCTTCGATCACATTGCGATCATCATGTTGTTTAGTCCAACTTTCCGCGAAGGTCATAACCTTTAATGGTTTCAATTATCTTCTTCTCTTTAGCTGAAAGTCCTGAATTTAAGTAAAAGTTTTTGTCTGCGCATTCAGTATTTTATCTTTTTGTAAAAGAAACAGTCATTGCAACATTGCCAAACATTGCCAATTCAGAGTACTAGATAGTTTCCCTTTCCCTTCCCATTTTGTAGGTAGGCAGCTCAGCTGTGCACAGGACACACCCAGTTCTGGAAAGGCATGCCCATACAAGGCAGCAGGAGGCGGGGCGGGAGAGACTGCCTGCCCCTTCTGAGCTGTATAAAAGGAGGAGGCGGGGATCAGGATGCAGGAGGGCCTCCAGTGACCGCAGGATGGTGGCAGTACTGCGTCACATTGAGGACCTGAAGAAAAGACAGAGTGTCATTGATGAGTGAGCCAGAAAGATGTTGCATGTCAAGGTGTCTGTGTGCGGTTGTGTCTTGGTACGTCACTGTGCCAGTGTGCTTTTGTTTCTGTTTGTCCAGTGTGTCTCTTTGGAATATGAATGAGCAAATACTGTAGATGGATAGAGAAGCAGCAAGACTGATCAACACTACAATGCCTGTGTTGTGTCCCTGTGTTTGAGGTTGAAGAAGGAGAAGTGGGGAGGCACTCCCAGTATCTGCTACCCTGAAGGCATCTCTGGTCCTGGGGAAAGGGAGCTGGGAGAGACTGAGGATCCGGGCCTGGCACAGCCAAGCAGGGAATTAGGCACCACTGCATCCCAGCAGTTCAATGACACTCTCTTTTCCCCCACCCCGTCGCTTTCCAATCAGCAGGTAACAGTGTTCTGACAGTCTCATACTGATACACTAGTAGGTAAGGCCTGTTTGTTTTCACGTTTTGGATTTCTGCTGTACACATATATTCATAATAAAACACTACTTAACTATCCAATACACACAAGTGCAAAGCCATGTCAAACATGTTCTTCACCTTTTTCACATTGATAATGTAGCTGCCATGCAGTACAACTTGGAAACAAAATATTTTCAGATCATGTGAATGCTTAATAACCTCACCCTTTTATTCTAAAGGTTAAAACAGAGCATCTCTTACGCTGTGACTAAATTAAATGACTTAGGGTAATTAATCTGGGTCTACAGAACAAAGACAGGCTTCATTTACCAGTACTGCGGTCTGAAAGTCTCCTCTCATCTTTACAGACTTTCAAGGAGCTAGGATGAGTAATTGACAGTGTTTCTGATGACAGGGCCTGAGTGCTGTGTCTTAATCCCTCATGAGCTGGTTTAGGGGGTGGGGTCACGGAGAGGAGCTGTGATTGACATTTGGCAGTTCCTGACTGGGGCAGAAGGGTATCAAAAACCAAAATTTGATTCCAGATTTGTAAGGGAAAATCCCTAAATGTGGAGCCCTGTGAACATTAACTGAATGCCGAACAGAATGTCTTCAACATTACAGAAAATACAAGAAGAACTTTTGTTATAAGAACAGTCATTTAGCACGGAGTCGCTCACAGTGACACACTGCTGCTGTGGAGTCTCTACTTTCTGGCGTCTCATTCTAAGCAATAGAGCACCTGGAGTTACCAGAGGTTCGATAAGATTAGGGGTGACAGGGGACTCATGAGGAGCCAGGGTCAGAGACGGGGAACTTAAACCAGGAACATCCTGATAGAGCAAGACCTGGACATAATCACAGCAGAACATCCTATTGAATAAGAATGCCAAGGTGGAGAAACAAAACAGTGTGGCACAATGGTAAACACCCCTCCAACTGCAGAGTCCAGCCACCAGGAAATGGAAGCTTACGCTCTGACGCAAAGCATAGGTGAGCCAGTCAAGTTCATGGATTCACGTGCGATTCTCGCTATCTCTTGTTGTGCAGTTGCTGCTTGGAAGGGGCCTAGAAGAGCTGAGTCTGGCACCAGGGCAGGATCCCATGATGTCGTTCGTCATGGCAACAACAGACAGAAAGACAGGCAGGGCAGGGTTTCTCACAACACCCTCCCCCAAGGAGTTCTGGGGCTTTAGCTGCAGTGCTGAGGAGTAAAATAAACTGCCCCCTACTGCTGCCACATTGAAGCTCTGCAGTTTATTCTGCATCAAGCATTATGATACAAATGCCATCAGGTTTTCTAGGCTAGTAAATTCCAATTCTTTTAATGCTGAAATTGCTGAAGGAATTGTGAGAGGGTGAGTGTTGCTCTAAAACAGAAACAAGGGAAAGTGTTCATTATAATAGAGCAGAGGTGTGGCTCTTCATTTATAGTGTCACTTCAACTTGTTGCCTTGGGGGTACGGAGACAAGCATTTCCTGTTCTTCTCTTAGCTATGAACAGCTCTTCGCCTGGGAAAAGGGTCTAATGAGCAATTCAGATTGAACTGGAACTGCACCCTCGTTTGCCACTGCCTACAGCGGCTGACAATATAAAGAGACTTGGAACACCGACGTCTGGAGCTGGAAACCACTTCTTTCATGAAAACGCTACTGTAGAGGAATTTGAAAAAAAAATACTGAAAAAGTATTCAACCAACTTTTAGAAAGTATTTGTAATGGTTTGAAATATTTGTTTTTTTGTGACTTTATTTGAGTCTTTGTTAAAGTAGCTGTTTATCTTTTCTTATTTAAGAAGTAATCATCGACTTTCCCCAAAGAATAACATTGATCAGCTGTTAGTAAGATGTGACAGGGTGGAACAGGGTGAAAAGTTTTTCTCATTGTTTTATTTGTTTTTCATTGTAATAGTTTTCAGTAAACAGAGGCAGTTCCTGTCTGTTGGTGCTAACACTGCCGCTGATTTACACTTCTGTGATGTCATCTGTCTGGGGCTGCAGGGACAGTCGGAGCTGTCCTGGGTATGCCACACAATGCTTTGTCATCCACTTGTGTTTTACCCCATACCTTAACCTTAACTCATTATTAACTTATTATCCAGAACTATAACCCATAATCGATTAAAACCTCACATGATGGTGACTTCCTGTATGACTGTTTTCTTCCTGCTGCCCCAGAGGAAACGTGCCCTTTGCACACTGTGATTGGTGCTTGGGTCAAAGGCTTTTTTTAACTGACTGTCTTAAGGATTAAATGCTTAAACATTGGTTCATGGCAAGTGACATACTGACTTGTGAATACTGTATATTTTCACTTTGTCACCTGTTCTGTGAGTTTCTGTAAAATAAATTTTACAGGAGGAGTAACTTGCTGTGTGTCTAATTTGTATCTTTTTCTCTGTCATTAGAGGGTAACCAGTTTAGCACAGTCAGGATCCTGTGTCTCTGTGATTCTGGAATCTGGGGCCTGTTTAGACACTCAACACATCAAGCACTACTAATCAGGATCTCAGCACCAGTCTTAAATATGCTGTGTTTCTTATTTCCAGGCTGCTTTTAAACTTGGCGGACCCATTCAAACACCTCTGTGGTGAAGACTGGGTGCTGTGGAGCAATGAGACTGGGCCATGAGCAAAGACAGAGGACACCAGGGGGCGCTGCCTCAGTTCTGCGTGGCTACCATTGTGTCTAAGTATGGAAGGACGAGCTGCACAGCGCTGCTCAGTGTCCGCACTGCTGCTGCTCCTGGGAGCTGATCTAAGGCTGACCTTGAGCATCTGCTGGACTCTGGCTGTCCAGGAGCAGAGCCACCCCTGGAACAGTCCAGCTCACTCTGTAAGAGCCCTGTGAATGGCCTGTCCCAGTTGTGGGAGTGGCTCCCCCTAGTGGTTCAGCTGACACCGCTTGTCTTGTTTTTTTCTTGTTCAGTTTCTGAGTTTTCATTATTATTCTTATCTTATCTTCCTCTACTCCTGCCACTCTGCTTCATGCTCCCCCTAAAAATCCCACTCCTTCTTCCCCTTTCTCACTGCTCTCCTTCACTCCTCTTCCTCATTCCTCTCTCTTCCACACATCACTCCTCTTCCTCATTCCTCTCCTCTCCCTCTTCCTCACAGCTCTCCTTCTCTCCTCTTCCTCGCTGCTCTCTTTCTCCCCTCTCTCCTTCACTCCTCTGCCGTCTCTTCACTCCTCTCCCCCTCCCTGTGCGGTGACATCAGTGAGCTGTTCAAGATGTCTGACGGTCTGAAAGCGGAAGGTGAGCTGGGAGCCTGTCTTTCTCTCTGTCGGCTCTGGGCTTTAGTAAAAACCTGTTTCTCGTTTAGCTTGACTCTGCTCCGCGGAGGGCAGGGGGTGTGGGGCTGTTGAAGGGTGCGATAGGGGCTGTGTTTGCTGATGGGGATCATTTCAAATAGACAAATGTAGGTGCAGACCCATTAGCTGAACGTATGTAAATACAACATGGTAACACGAACCAGGCACAAGCCTCCCTGTACCTTTTATAGGCTAGACACGAACACGCTAGATCTGGGTAAAACGCAGCAGGTGCGGCTGAGCTTGCCTGTCTTCCCGGGCAGATGCTGTTTGCGTCTCTGCGTTGGGAGCGCCGTGGTCATTAAGATGGTTTCTGCGGTTTGTAGGAAAAGCGGCGGACGCTGCGCTCCCCTCTGCGCCGGCGATTGGGGGGCTCCGGATCGGTGGCCACCGCTCACTCGACACCCGGGATCAGGCCCATGATCAGTCGCAACACTCCCACCGCCTCCCTGCGAATACGTCCTGTGTTACCGGCTGCTGCTGGCTTTTTTACGTTAAAATTAATTTGGTAATTTCTCTGTCAAGAGTCGTATGGTTTCTCCCACGGCTCATTTTTAAAGTTCGCGTTTGTCTTACGTGACTTCTGTTTCAGTCCCATGAATATTGACGATATGCTGAGATCGAGACCATTTACGAATGAACAAGATAGATAAATAGTAGATCTAAATTCCTGGCTAGTCGTTACTGTGTTTGTTATCATGTCAGAGAAAAGAATAATTAAAATATTGTCCGGGTAGCGTTAGGTCTCTAAGAAACACCTGCAGAACTGCTGTGTTCTTGTTGAGTGATTATAAACAACGATTACCGATATGACCACCGCTATCACCACGATTGTTCATCATTTAATTGTGACAATTTGACTTGAGAGACTCGGTGAGCAGTGATGCCAACAGGAAGGATTCGGATAGACCAACGCTGGGGATCTGTCGATAAAAAGTTATTTAATTATTAATGATAAGCTCCTGCGGATTGTTGACCACATCAGAAAAATATTGTATGAGATGAGATGCCGATTGTGGGATTGATGCAGTTGGGGTGGTGTGATCTTGTATACTGAAATGGAGGGATCTCTTCGTGTGGGATACCTGATGGTTCCCCTGTGTTTTGTACTCCACTGTTGTATTTCAGTGGGTTTGTGAATTCACACTTAACAGCATTGAGATTATGTCAGACACGAAATCTGATGCATTTAAAGACAATAATTGAACCAGAAGCTAATTTTCATCGCCAGTTCCGCCAGGCATGCATCAATGTCCATATAATAAAGAATCAAATCAAATTCATCCTGTAATTAAGTTATAAATCATTACAGTAATGACCAGCTTCCCGCCTTGTGCCCTGTGACTGGTTAGTGACCTGGGGAAGAAACTGTTAGTGAACCTGGGTGGAAAGACCATTGTGATTAACACATCTCAAAGCATCCCCCTTCTCAGTTTTAATAGTGCAGAGCTCAGGCTGTGAGCGACTGGTTAGGGATCTGGTTCCAGAAGAACACAGGTCGTTCTGTTGCATGCGGTGGAGAAGGATATGTGAACACTATGCAAGCATGGAAGTCATTGAACTTTATATACATGGTCATGTGTTTTCCACAGGCCCCCAGCGTCCAAAGCCAGTAAAGTTGCTTCATCTGAGTCCCGGCAGCAGTGAGCAGTAAAGGTTAGAGATCTGGAGTCATAATTAGTGGCGAGTGGTTGTGGGTTCAGATCCCAGAGAAGCACAGCTCTTGTACTCTTGGGCACAGTATTTCGCCTTTTGTGTTACCAGCTGTAAGTTTTAATATGGATTGTGAACCCCAGGGTTGAGTGTGTCCTGAGCCCTCACTGTGTCCCTCAGACTGTGACAGGGTGAACCCCAGGGGTGTATCTATGCAGAGACCTCATTGTGTCTCTCAGACTGTGACAGGGTGAACATATCCTCAATGTGGGCTGTTTGCCGCTGTCTGGGTGGACTGGGATGTACAGTTTCAGCAGTGCCCCCTGCTGTGTTGAGACAGTGCAGTTCTAATGCTTCTGGGACTCCAGGCTTATCTGGGTGCGTCTCTGACAAATCTGTGAGGAGGACAAGGGTGTTGCAGAGGTTTTGCTGCTTTTTTCTGACGTTAAATCTGTTGGAGAAATGCCTTTCTAAAGGTTTCTGAAATACTATATTTAATTTTAATTTAACATTACTTTATTAACCCTTTACAATTTCTTGGATTAGGAATTATCTTTTCGCATACCCCAGCTTACTCTCCATGAGACACACAGACACATAGACAGGCAGAGAGCCTGGGGTCAGAGCACAGGGTCAGCCATTGTACAGCGCCCCTGGAGCAATTGGGGTTAAGGGCCTTACTCAGGAGCCCAACAGAGTAGGATTCCTCTGCCGGCTGTGGGATTTGAACCGGCAACCTTCCAGCCGCAGATCCTTAACCACAGAGCCACCGCTCCGCCCCAGATATTACAAGTGTTGCCGCTGTGCACACCTCCCTCTGGCCTGCACTCAGATGTGTAGCTTTGCATTGCAAATGTCCTGGATATTGAGTTCGTGCCGTGTTTTCGTGGAGCTTGGTTGTTTGTGGTCAGTCCCTGACATGAACTCCTTCACGTGACTATCACAGGAGGGAAATCCAGCTAGCTCTTTTATCTCTGTGTTTTACACATATGACCCTTACTGAAAAAAATTGAAAGGATATTTGCAAAGTTGTTAAAGAATGTGTTTTTGCTTGGGGACCTCCACTTGGCAGCATCTGATCCACACCAGGTTTTGTGCCGCAGTCTGATACACTGCAGGTTTTATCAGCTGCTGGAGGCTCATAAAAAACGGTACTGGTGAAGAATCAGGAGAGCCAACTCTGTGTTATTTGAACTCACTTCACACTTTTATCTCAGCTTGTTGAAGCACAGTTAGCTAGGTGTCATCAGGAGTTGGTTGGGCTTGAGTTTTTTCTCTTTTCTACTTGCTTTGCCCCCTCCCCTCTCCCCTTGTGGGACCCTCTGTCTGCCTCCATCTTTACCCTTTTCCTCCCTTCCTCTTCACCTCTTTCCCATCATCCATCCTCCCTAGCCTCTCGTTTCCTGATCCGTCTCCGTCTCCGTTCCTCTGCTTTCATTCCTGCATTGCTCTGGCGGAGGAGGACGTGGGAGGGAGTGCAGTCACGTTCGCTGCCCTGGCTGTTTCCAGGCAACAGCGCAGACGAGGGGGAGAGAGAAATTGATTAACTCTTTAGGACTGGACTTGTTGCAGTTTGTGTGGTACCAGGTCGATCGGACTCTGACCTACTCCCTGAATGAAGCTGGCTGAAATCAAGGCGTAAATAGATGCAGAGTTTCCCGCAGGAAAAGGCTCAGGCCAGGTGGAAGTCTCCTGCAATTGACATAACATTAATGTTAATCCCCCACCTAGCTATCTAACAGCTAGATGACAGTACTAGCTTGCAAACTGTATATTGTAACTATATAATATTATCCTGAACAAGACGTTATTTGACTGCAGCAAGTCTGATTATATACGATTCATCAAAGCTGTAGGCTACCATGATGCTGCCTGAGGAAGAGCTTTGTGCTTGACATGCTTTTCTGATTCTGACTGCACTGTGCCATCATTGTGTTCTTTTTGCTATTGAGCATTAAGCTTTTTGCTATCTGTTCATTATTTTGCGCTCATTGAGACAATACGATATGTATTCACTTTGACAATTGTCATCCACTCAGTTTATTATTTTATAGAAATGATGTTTCTCATCAATTTTCACTAGAGACAAAGGGGCACCGTATTTGTCTGTGACCCGATGACTCAGCTGTGAGGAAATCCTGCAGTTTTTTTCCTATGTCAATTACTAAGTTAGCTCTCAAGGGTCCAAAACCCTAATGCGTGAGGTTTTCTGTTGAAAATGGCAATTGTTTACTGTTTGTATTGATGGTTTATTTTATCCACGTACAAAAACACATTGAGTAATTAACTGAATCACAAATAATTCTGCAACAATGTCACAATTTTACATTCATTATTTAATTTTTTTATCAACCTAAACTTAATGCAAATTTGTATGCATGAAAGCTGTGCGATTACGCACCATTGAAGCGGCTGGCTGTCATATGATTTTGCGGTGTATTACTATGAAACAGTATTTCAATATGGAATCTTGTATACATGTCATTGGCATTCATGCAGCTAGGCAACCAAACTATGAAATATGTCTGTGAATGACAGAAAGTCTTTCTGACATATGACATATGTCTAAATGACAGAAAGATCCAGGTGTGTCCAGAGGGTGTTGATGATGTACAGTATCTGTGAGTGAGCGTTTGTCTCTGACAGTGAGATCAGGTGTGTCCAGAGTTGATGACGTATCTGTGAGTGAGCGTTTGTCTTTGACAGTGAGATCAGGTGTGTCCAGAGAGGGTGTTGATGACGTATCTGTGAGTGAGTGTTGTCTCAGACAGTGAGTTTAGGTGTGTCCAGAGGGG